TATATATATATATATATATATATATATATGACACGTATACATACTATATATATTATATATAGATATAATATTATTATATATAATTAATTAATTAATTAATTAATTAATTAATTAATTAATTAATTAATTAATAATAGTACCTGCATCCAAAGGAAGAAAGATGTAATTGATTAGAATAATTATTAATAAATAAATTGTCTCCTTTATTAGCTGCATATACACCTGAATGTGTCTCCTTTTTATTTATTATATAACGGCATAAAAGGAGACAGTCTCCTTCTGCCTTACGTAGTGTATATACACCACGACTTAGTATTTCTTCCTGTATATACATATATATACACATATAAATAAATATATTAATATATGCATGCATGCAGATGCATGCAGATGCATGCAGATGCAAGCACATGCATGCACATGCACATGCAGATGCATGCATATTTGCATGCATGCAGATGATGTCTGCTGCTGCAAGAAGTGCTGCAAGGAGAGGCAAACAAGGGGTGCAACCAGCAGCAGCAACAACAGCAGCAACCACAACAACAGCAGCAGCAACACCAGCAGCAGCAGCAACAGCAACGGCAACAGCAGCAGCAACAGCAGCAGCAGCAGCAACAGCAGCAGCAGCAGCGGGAATTGGTTACCCTTTCCATGGCTGTATTTTCTTGTAATTCAAGTAAAGTGTGCAGCTGCTGACGACGATGCAGCAACTTTTGCTGTTAACAGCAGCAGCAGCAGCAGCAGCAGCAGCAGCAGCAAAGACACACAACAAAGGAGACAATAAAGGAGACAGTAAAAGGAGACAGATAAAGAGAATAGGACACAGCAGCAAACATAAAGGAGACGGCAACAAGTGCTAAGAAGGCAGAAGCAGCAACAGCAGCAACAGCAGCAGCAGCAGCAGCAGCAAGAGGAGACACATTATACCTCTAGTGCAGCATTAAGTGTCTCCTTTTCTTTTCTATTTGTTTTCTCTATTGCTAATCTTTTTGCTGTCTTATTTAGTGTCTCTTTTGTCTCCTCTTGCTGCTGCTGCTGCTGCACAAGCTGCTGCTGCAGCTGCTCAAGTTGCTGCTGCAGCAGCTGCTGCTGATTATGCAGCTCAGCTACTTCCTGCTCATGAGCAGCCTCACTAGCTGCTTGCTGCTGCTGCTGCTGCTCTTGCTGCTGCTGCTGTTGCTGCTGTTGTTGTTGCTGCTGCTGTTGTGCTTCTTCAACTTGTGCCCGAAGAGAGTCAGCCAGTTGCTGCTGCTGCTGCAGTTGCTGCTGCTGCTGCTGCAGTTGCTGCTGCTGCTGCTGCAGTTGCTGCTGCAGGGCCTCAATTGCTGCTTCTCTCTCGGCTGTCTCTTTGCGGTGTCTCTGCACTGTCTCCTCTAGTGTCTCCTTCAGGTCTGCTGCTGCTGCTGTTGCTGCTGCTGCTGTCTGTTGTGCTGCTGTCCCTGCTTCCTCCTGCTGCTGTTTCTCCTCCTTTGTCTGCTGCAGCTGCTGCTTTACCTGCTGCAGCTGCTCAAGTGTCTCCTCACATTGTCTCCTTTCTGTAGCAAGCTGCTGCTGCAGCTGCTGCAGCTCAGTGTCTTGCTGCTGCTGTCGAAGCTTTGCTTCCTGCTGCAGTGTCTCCATCTCTTCTCGCTGCTCCTGCTGCTGCTGCAACTGCAGCTGGAGCTGTTCTTGCTGCTCCTGTTGCTGCTGCAGCTGCTGCTGCACTTGCTGCTGCTGCTCTAACTGTTCGTTGAGCAGCTGCTGCTGCTGTTCCAGTTGCTGCAGCTCCTGCTGCTTCTGCCCTATTTGCTGCAGCAGATCGTTGTTCTGTTGCTCTAGCTGCTGCAGTTGCTGCTGCAGCTGCTGCAGCTGCTCCGTCTGTGTGTCGACCTGCTGCTGCAGTGTCTCCTTTGCAGCAGCAGCAGCAGCACATTGTGCATGCAGCTCCTTAATTGTCTCCTCCTTCCCCTCTAACTCTTCCTTTATTCTTTTTGTCTCCTGTGTCTTTGCTGCAGCATCTGCAGCAGCTTGCTGCCTTGCATGCGCTTCTGTTTGTCTTTGTGATTCTGCTGCAGCAGCAGCAGCAGCAGCTGCTGCTGCTGCTTCTTCTGCCTCCTTAATACGCTGCTGCAGCTCATGATGCATTTGCTGCTGCTGCTCCTCCTTCTTTGCCTCTTCTTCTTTTGCTGCTGCAAGGGCCTCCCTCAGTGTCTGCACCTCTTCTTCCCGCTGCTGCAGCTGCTGCTGCAGCTCCTGGTGCTGCTGCTGCTGCTTCTCCTGCTGCTGCTGCTTGTCCTGCTGCTTCTGCTGCTGCTGCTGCTGGTGCTGAGCGTTTCCTGCTGCTAGCTCTACAGCTAAGCTGTCGTGTCTCTCCACTGATGGCGGGGTAGCAGCAGCAGCAGCAGCAGCAGCAGCAGCAGCAGCAGACATGCGGCTATGCATACTACCTAATGCCCTAAATTGCTGCTTAAGGAGACAGTTTGTCTCCGTCTTGGAGAAAGGAGACACATTGCTGCTGCTGATGGTCATGCTGCTAAATGGATGAAGAGACACAGGAGCAGCAGCAGCAGCAGCAGCAGCAGCAGGACGATCCTGCTGCAGTACACGGACTGCTTCTCTTAATCCCTTTATTACTTCCTCCTGCTGCATGCAGCAACTTTGCTGCCGCTGCAGCTGCAGCAGCAACCCCACACAGCAGCAGCAAATATATTTATTTATCTATTTTATTTATTTATTTATTTAATTTAATTAATTAATTAATTAGTCAATTAATTAATTAATTTATTTATTTATTTATTTACTTATTAATAAATAAATAAATAAGAGGGCCTACTTCTTTTGTCTTCTCCTCTAACTCACGATGTAATTCTTCTGCTGTCTCTAAACTGCAGCAGCAGCAGCAGCAGCAGCAGCAGCAAAAGACACACGCATGCAGCAGCAAATATACAATATATATGCATGCATTCTGCAGCAAATGCAGCAAATGCAGCAAAAGCGTGCTGCTGCTGGAGTATATTTAATTAATTAGTTAATTAATTAATTAATTAATTAATTTATTTATTTATTTATCTATAAGAGGGAAGAAAGGAGACAGACATATGCATAGTTTTACTGTCTCCTTTATTTAATGGAGGAGACACTTCTTCTGCTTTTATCTTTTGTTGCTGCTGCTGCTTCTGTGCAGCAGCAGCATCTAATTGCTGCTGCAGACGCTCGACCTCCCGCTGCAGAGACTGCAGCAGGAACAGCAGCAAAAGCAGCAAAAGCAGCAGCAACACCAACATCAATAACAGCAACAGTAACAGCAGCAACAGCAGAAGGGAATAGGACACGCTGCTGCACCTTCAGGCTAGGGTTTAGGGTTTATTAGTGTTTATTAGTGTTTATTAGTGTTTATTAGGGTTTAGGGTTTATTAGGGTTTATTAGGGTTTATTAGGGTTTATTAGGGTTTAGGGTTTAGGGTGTCTATACATAATTTTTGTGTTTTTGTTCATCTAATTCTCTTATTATATTTCTTTGTTGTTGCATCTCTCCTTTTATTATATCTAATTCTTTTTGTGTCTCCTCTAGTGTCTCCATCTGTAGCAAAAAAAAAAGAGACAAAAAAAATATATACATATATATACCCTAAACCCTAAACCCTAAACCCTAAACCCTAAACCCTAAACCCAAGATATTTACCTGTCTCTGTTCTTCTCTTCTTTGTTTATTTAATCTATCAACAAGAGAAGAAGTTGTTTTTTGTTGTTCCTTTAGCTACAAAAAGGAGACAAAAAAGGAGACAAAAAAAGGAGACAAAAAAGGAGACAAAAAAGGAGACACAATAAAAAAGGAGACAGTTTATTGTGTCTCTTTTTTTTTTTTTTTATTAATAAAAAGGAGACACTTATCCCCTTTATTAAGGAGACACTAAACCCTATTTAATAAAAGGGGACACCTGTCTCCTCTCATTTATTTATTCTTATTTATTTATTCTTATTTATTTATTTATTTATTTATTTATTTATTTATTTATTTATTTATTTATTTATTTATTTTCCTTACTTTATTTAATAATTGTATAACTTGTGGCTCTAAGGAGGAGACAATAAATGAATGCACACGAGCAATACCCTTTTCTGCTGTTGGGGGCCCCCCTTCTTTATAGGGGGGCCCCCCGTCTCTATATGGGGCCCCCCGTTCGCTATAGGGGGCCCCTCCCTCCCATGAGGGGCCCCCATGGGGGCCCCCAGACCCGTAAGACTGTAAAGAAAGAATCCTTGCTAAAGGAGACAACCCAAGACACACAGCAGCAGCAGCAGCAGCAGCAGCAGCAGCAAACAATTCAATTAGTAGCGCAGGCACGCACACACACACACACACACACACACACACACACACACACACACACAGAGATAGCTACCTAGGATCGTAGATGGCTAGCTAGCTGGCTAGGTTATTAGCTAGCTAGACATAGCTGGACATACAGCTAGCTAGCTAGCTAGCTAGCTAGCTAGCTATAGAGTAGTGAATTCCTTACATCGTTGCCTGAAGGTCTGGGGCCCCCTAGGGGCCCTTTTATGTGTATTTGCTGCTGCTGCTGCTGCTGCTGCAGTAGCTGCATTAGCAGCAGCAAGTGTCTCCTCATTAGCATCATTAATGTCTCTCTCTATTGCATAAAGGATAGATAATACCTCATTAAGCATAGCAAGGGAGACAGAGGGCCTCCCCTTCCTTAGGGGGGCCCCCTCGGATAAGGAGACAGGGGGGCCCCCCTTATCTGTCTCCTCATCAGAGGAGACTGTCTCCATTACCAGCAGCAACAACAGCTGCTGCTGCTGCTGCAGCAGCAAACAGCAAAAGGAGACACTTTATATACCCTATATATTGCTGCAGCAAAGGGGGGGCCCCCATAATACCCTACTTATAACTCTTAACCACATCGGGGGGCCCCCTGCAGCAGCAGCAGCAGCAGCAGCAAAAGATACAAGAAGAACTGCTGCTGATGCAGCACATGTACTTTTCCCCTTGCTGCTACTGCTGATGGCGTTGCTGTTCCTGACCGTGCTGCTGCTGCTGCTGCTGATGCTGCTGCTGTTGGTGCTGGTGCTCCTGCTGCTGCTGCTGCTGCTGTTGAGGGTGCTGGTCGAGCTGCAGCTACTGCTTGATCTCCCTTCTGTCCTTGGATGCTGCTGCTGCTGCGCCTGATGGTGCGTTCTCTTCTGCTGTAGTTGCAGTTGCTTCCGTTGCTGCTGCTGTTGTTGCTGCTACGGCTGCTGTTGCTGCTGCTGCTGCTGCAGCTGTGTGTCGTGATCCCCTAGGCTTCCTTGGATCCTTCTAGGCAGAGTCTCTAAAGAGATGGGAACTACTTAAAGATCCCTCCAGTTGCAGCAGCAGCAGCAGCTGCAGCAGCAGCTGCTGCTGCTGCAGCTACAGCTGCTGCAGCAAGGCTACTGCGGACCACTGGTCAGTTCCGCCGGTGCGCAAGGCGCATGCATGCACAAAGCCCCAAAGAAAATAAAGAATTAAATCCCTTTATTCTTCTCTTGCAGGTATCAACATCAGCAGCAGCAGCAGCAGCAGCAGCAGGAGCTGCTGTTGCTGCTGCTGCTGTTGCTGCTGCTGCTGCAGTGTCCACTGTTAAGGCCTGGCTAATAAGAGGCCTTGCGTCTTCTTGTATACACAAGAAATTTATTTATTTCTTTTTTATTTATATAAATCCTTCAGGTGAACATACACCCCAACACACCAAGAAGCTGCTGCTGCCTGCTTGCTGCTCGTGCTGCAGCGAACCTTGTGATGCTGCTGCTGGTCCTGCTGCTGCTGCTCCTGCTCCTGCTGCTGCATGAAGCAACTTTTTTCCTCTAAAAATGACTCAAAATATTGCTGCTGCTGCTGTATAGATACTCTATCCTCTTATATCACCAACATATCGAGGGGGGCCCCCATGGGGGCCCCCGGGCTAGCTGCAGCAGCTGCTGCTGCGCGGGGCCTGGGGGGCCCCCAGAGAAGAGGAAGCAGCAGCAACAGCAACAGCAGCAGCAGCCCACATGAGGGATTCTTGAATACCTTAAGTTGCATGCACACATTAGAGGCTGCAGACGAAGAAGGGAACCAAGACAGACAGCACCGCAGCACCAGCAGAAGCTGCTGCTGCTGCTGCTGCTGCTGCAGCACGGCACCATTATGGGGCCCGCAGTAATAAATCTGTAACGAAGCTGCTGCTCTCCCCACTGAGACAAAGAGAGACACCCACACACCCTTACTTGCCTCAAGCAGAAGTAGCAGCAGCAGCAGCAGCAGCAGCAGCAGGTGTGGTAGCAGCAGGAGTAGCAGCATACAGGTGGGGAGCAGCAGCAAAAGAGACGGAAAAGGCTAGTAGCTGCAGCACGACCCCAATATACAGCAGCAGCAAGGCTAGATAGAGGGAAGTCAGCAGCAGCAGCATCTAGGCTAGATAGGTGGAGGGTACCAGCAGCAGCAGCAGCAGCAGCAGCAGCTGCTGCTGCTGCTGGTGCCTGCTGCAGTGTGTATATTCGTAAGAACTTCGGTACATTGAATAGTCTACTATGCGGTGTACGTACACCCCAATTGTCTTAACAACAACACCAAAACAAAAGAGCAGCAACGCTACCCAGGGGGCCCCTCCTGGGGGCCCCCTACTTATGTTGGGGGCGGGCCCTTCTCCTTATGTTAAGGAGGGGAGCCCCTCTCCTTATGCTGTAGGGGGGCCCCCCCAACCTTCGTTGGGGGCACCCTATGTGATTCTATCGCTACATCTATACACCCCCATAGAAGGATATACACAATACGGTGGGGGGCCCCCCTTTATCTTACAAGGGGGGCCCCCCGTCTATTAGTTAGGTGTGCTAATAAGGGGATACTGTCCCCTCTGCTAGCTTCCTACAAACGGAATGAAGAATGGGGGGCCCCAGGGGCCCCCTGACGGGGGCCCCAAGCCCCCGACAAACCCGTTGTCCCCATAGGGCCCCCAGGGTACTGGGTCCCCCCCATTTGAGGGGGTCCCCCAGCCATGGCATGTGAGGCCCCCGCTGGGGGGCCCCCCATAGGTCCCCCCGGTCGCTGGAGACCGGTTGCTTGGGTGGGGGCCCCCATGGGGCCCCCCCCCGCTACACTGCTGCTAACTGCAGACATATTCTCTTCTTCGTCACTAGACCCGAACATCTCTACAGAGGAGACACGGGAGGCAGGAGAAGAAGGTACTGCTGCAGTGGGTCCTGCTGCATGAGGCCCCCTGGAGGCCCCCACATTGCTTGCAGTACCCTGTGGGCCCCCATGAGGACCTCCTGCTGCTGCTGCTGCTGCATTATTAACAGCAGCAGCTGAGAATCCAGCAGCACCACCGCCTGCTGCTGCTGCTGCTGCTGCAGCAGCAGCAGGTGCACCAGCACCGCCACCCCCCCCCGTAGAAGCAGCAGCAGCAGCAGCAGCAGCAGCAGCA